TTTATACGATTTAATAACCTTAATAAAGAAATATTATACAAAATGCAAGATCAACGTAATAAACAAAAATTAAAAAAGGTATGAGTAACTACATAACTGTGTATCAATGTTTATAGATAACTTGAAATAATAAACTTATTTAATATGATTTATAAGCTATAAGCTTACATATCTAGCATTTTTCCAAACTCCCTCCACTGTTATTGGACAGTCTCTTCAGTTCCTTACTTCCTTATAGCTCCTCATTCCGGCATTTTTAATAACTTTGTTGATTAACGCAAAAACAAACTCCATTTTCTTAATATTCCTCAACAGTTTATGGTTAACTGTAGGTATAAACGTTACTATTATAATTTTTAATACTGAAATATATAATTGGATACTCAACAAAAACATCCATTAAAAATTAATAATAACGGTTATTGATGATAACGTAACTGAACGGCGCGATGCCTACGTCACACGAATGCGTATCACATAAATGTCATCATACCATGTTCTTTTATCATGCCACATACGAAGGGAGGGTGTTTTATTATGGGATTTAAGAGAACATTTTATTTTCGAGCTCATGTATTTTGATGATATTAATTTAATTAAATGTGTTAAGTGGTCAGATAATGAACTATTACTGTCTGTGCTATGGTTATTTAAAGAACTGAAAATTGAATTATTATTCATAAAATGAGAAAGAACTTTTGTTTGAATGAATAATTTATTGATTCCTTTATTTTGGTAATTATATGATTTTAACATTTTTTCTGTTTGCAAGCTGATGAGTGATGGCCATAGTCACCGGGCTTAAGCTCAATAAAAAATAAAAACATGATTAAAATATTCTGTAAAAAAAAAATAATAATAATAATTTTTATTTTAAATATTCAATTATAATGTATTAACTATTAGGTAGGTAGTTCGTTTTTACAAAATGTTGAAGTATTGTTATCTGTGTATAAGGCCATAAAGATAAAGTGTTCACTGAAAAAAAAGATTGCAACTGCATCTGTAAAAATATCTTGGGCTGTCATATAGTATGCGGTCTACCGGCGAACATGTTCTACCGGCCAGTAGGCCGCTGAAGGATGCCTGGATGCGGTCTACCTGCGACCGGCCGGTTTTTGGACAGGCCTAAGTTTATTTTTAACAGATACAGTTGCAATCTTTTTTTTCAGTGAACACTTTATCTTTATGGCCTTATACACAGATAACAATACTTCAACATTTTGTAAAAGTATAGGCTCAATAGCTCTGCAGTATGTCACGTAACCTCATTTAACCAACACACCTCAATTTATACACTTAATAATATGTTGGCAAAAGATTTGTATTTAATTATAAGTAATGAAGAATCAACCACAAATTTTTTAATTGGCAAAAATGTTTTGGAAAATAATGAAAATGCCCAATGTGTCAAGTGTGGATGTGATATGAATTTATACCTACTTATGGAGAGAGGTGAAGAAAGGAGAGTTTTACGTTGTCAGAGAAAGGGAAGTCAAACCACACAAAGCTTAAGATGAGAAAATTATATTCTTATATTCGTATTCTTATGTATCATAATTGTGTATAATATTATAGGAAGGTTTATCCAATAACACTATAATTAAATTAACCGGGAGATCATCCAACACCATATGTGACTGGATGAATTTGTGTCAGGATATACCAGTAAAGATGTTTGAAAAACGTACACAATTTGGAGGACCTGGTACAAGTCGACGAGTGTTTGTTGAGAGAATCCAGAAAAAGTAATAAAGGTAATTCATACATACCTAATAAAATACATATTTTTATTGAATATTAATTATAAAATAATATAAATCATCGTCATGTTGCTACAGGTAGATATCGACTTGCAGATTTTCCGAGTGAAAACATCGGAGACAAAAATGACGACCCTCTAGAAAATGGAAAAAGAAATTATGGTAGACGAATGGACGGTCCTTGGGTGTTTGGCTTATGTGACGATAGTGAGGCACGATATTTCGTTGTTGAAAAGCGGGACAAGCAAACTTTGCATGAAATTATCAAAAGAGAGGTTGTACTGGGTTCTATTATACACTCTGATGGGTAGTCAGCGTATAATGGGATCGCTCAATATGGTTATACTCATAATACAGTCAACCACAGTAAAAATTTGTTGATCCACTTACACAGGCACACACTCAACGGATCGAAAGCTTATGGAGACCATTACGCCTAAAAGAAGTCAAAAATATGTGTGGTACAAGTCCTGACCTCCTTCTAAGGTAAAATTATTTTAAGTTATGTATAATACGTTTAGCGTAAAGCGTAATAATAGAATATAATACGTAATACATATGAAACAAATATATAAATTATAATATATATATTGCAGGTATTTCATGGAAACATGGTGGCGAGGAATAAATAAATCGGATTTATTTAATGCATTTTTGAGAGATATGGCTGAAGTTTTGGTATTATGAACAACATATTTTTTTTTTTATAAATTATTATTATTATTAGGTATATATTTTTTTTGACAACAATATTTTTGACAAACAAATTTTTAGTTATTAATTTTTTTTCATTATTTAAGATAATGCATAATAATGCACAATATTCATCATTTTTTACAACAATTATACTATAATATTATGATATAATTGATACTTTATTTATTTGTGGGAGACCGCATACTATATTCGTAAATCGCAGGTAGACCTCATACTATACTCGTAAATTCACCGGTAGACCGCATACTATATGACGGCCATATCTTGTATGATTCTTAATTGGTGTTAATAATTTTAAATTTCCGGTGTAAATGATGTAAAGAGTAAATATTACTCAATGCCATGGAGCTGTTTAATTGTACAAAAATAATAATATAATTATTTTCTTCCAAAAAAATATAACAAACATTTTTAATAAGATGCGTGTTTTATATTCTCAAATAATCTATAACGTATTGCCCAATAATATTCTTTTTTATATAGAGTAAAAGTTTGTGTTCGAATTCTGTGTTTTACAAATCGTTAAGATATTTTACTCCCATTTAATTGCATGGACAAGAAACAAAATATATTATGTATAATCATAAAAATTAGACTTCTAATAATCAAAAATACGTATCGTAGTATCATTTTATCATTATTGAACTACCTATGCAATCTAGCGGACAATGAGAGCGCAGTTGGACTCTCGATAAGGGTCAACGACCGAACATTTGGCTTCACTACTCTAGTAGTAGAACAAGGAGGATATATGTAACGGCCTCTTTATATTACTCTGTGACGTAGTGTAGTGATTTATTGTCAATAATTTTATTATATTATCAATATACGCAAGATATTTATAAATTATAAATTATAATCAATCTATTGCGGACCGTCACTTTAACTTACCGCTCCCGTTTTTATTTTTGTTCCATCCTACCAATCGATCTAATAATGCGATAATATTTTTCTCGAACTCAGTTCGTCTAGCAGAAACCTTAGTGAAATTACCTACTGATTTAATTGTTCCGATCAATTACGAATGTAATAAATATTCGAAGAATATGCTAGTGCTAAATTTAATGAATGTGCACTACAATGAACGTAAAGGGCGGCAGGGTGTTTTTCACGTATCACAGATAGTACGCCTTTGAAATTTCCACTCATAGATGCTGCGACGTCATACCCTTGTCCTAACATATACCGACTATTAACACCGAGCCTTTTTAAATTTTCTAAAATTACTGTTGCCAAATTTTGTCCTGTTGTAGAATATACCGGTATAAATTGTAAAAAATCTTCTTTTAGTACATATGAAATATCATTTTTAGCATCTATAATTTTCTCCAAATATCGCACACATAATGATAACTGTTCAAAGCAAGATATATCAGTTGTCTCATCAACCAATACGGAAAAACACTTTGATTTGCTTATTTTTTCTACTATTTGTTCCTGTATAATTTTTCCACAAATTGCAATAAAATTATTTTGTATTAGAGGACTTAAATAAAAAGCATTTAATTTATTATTTTTAAAATGGTCAATTAAGTTTTTATCGCCACATGAAACACGCATTCGCAATAAAGCACGAAAAATTCCATCATTAAGTTCGGGTTCGACATCTTTTGATGAAAGTGGTCCGGAATCATTAGTACCACGAAAAGCTATTTCTTGCCGGCCACATAAAATTATAGTTTCAATTATCGGTATTAATCTTTTTCGATTTAAACTTATTTGTGCAGCACGCGCTGAATCTAATTTTTGTGCAATATTTTGCTGATTTTTTGAATAGATAGCTATAAAATTATCACCTCGTAAAACGTTGGTTTTATGAAAATCTTTTTTAGAATGTTCACTAAATACTTCAATTGCATGTTTCCAATTATTAAAAATTTTGAATACTAAAGAGGAAAGTTTTTGATTATTGCCTTTACCTCCAAATTCTTGACCAAATATTACACAGTATTTACATAGGGCACCACCATTATCAATTGTCGAGTAAACAAGCCATGGAAAACGTTCAAACCAGTTAAATATAAATTAAAATTTTTTTTTTTGAAGTTGTGGATGTTAGAAATACATAATTTTTATCTGGCATTTTTACCTGGACCCCCCCCCAGTTACGGCCTTGTTTAACAGTATTGACTAAAGGACGGCCAACTTGGGACCCTGTTAACAAAAGAAGTGTGACCTGTATTGAAGCCTATAAAGTGATGGATACTATAATGAGGGACAATATTGAAGAAAAAGTGGGTACCAAATGCTTTGACTTTGTCATGGCAATTAATAAGCTAATGAATTGTGACACATTGACTTTCAAAGAAAAATATATGGTAGAAGAAAAAAAGTAATAAAAGACCGTAAATTCAAGTGTAGAAGAACAGTTTCTAAAAACGTGGTGAAGGATAGAGTGACTTGCATAGAAGGAAATAAGGATGTATATATTCAAGTAAACAATTGGTCTGATCTTTCTGCGGATATTTGAAGTCGAAAGAGAGATAAAAATTCAAAAGGAGGGCCATATGTTCAGCTAACATGATGTTAAGAATGTTATTGTATTACATAGAAGAATTCCATTTAAAACTTGGCAAAAGAGTTGAAGGTCCTATAAGCATTGATGGAGAAGAGAAGAAGGCCAAAATAATAGCAACCATGAATGTAGTAGACAATTTTCCAGAAGGAGTTTGCCTTCAGGCTACAGAGGATGCTACCAAATGGAATGAATGCATTGCCCCTGAGGCGTTTGCGTCAATGCATGAGGGAATTTTCTCCGATGAAAACAGGGTGAGACTCAATTTGCCTCCTGTTAGTGATGAATTAAAAAGCTCTCGGAAATAATGACAATTGCAAGCTATTTCCTGTCAGTCAAGAGGATATTTCTAGGAGATGGACACGTATGCAGCACCGGAGAAATGAACAGTCGATTCGTATGGAGGAAAGAGGACAAAGAAATTATGAACAAAAAGACCTTAGAGTGGTTCGAAAAAATAGAGATAGGCCTAGGTGATGAAGGTTATTTGTCTGCTCCATATGGGATGTTTATGGGGATGCTGAATGCTGGGTCTACAACTCTGGGATTGATAGCCGCAGCATACAACATAAACACAGAAGTGGAAAACGTTAAAGTGGTTAGAAGCAGTGGTGACTGAATGACTAAATTTTCTGCAATAAATATGCAATCACTGAGAAAATGCTTAAATGAACAATAATGCAACTACAAGTTAATAGGTATAAACATATCTCCTAATTCTATTATCCTGTAGTAATAGATGTATTATGTAATTTATTTAAATTGGAATTTAAGTGTTTAACTTAAACTGTTTATGAATTACGATGAAAAACTATTTAAAGTGAAGAATGAAGACAATATTATGTTGACAAAATAATTTGCGAATTTTACGAATTCCGTCCTGATTATAAAAATAAGTACGGACATTTTTAAAAGTACCAAATAGATCCAATTGGTTACTTGAAATCACCTTCGAAGTTAAAAATCGAATCTTTCTACTAGTAAAAATGTCTTCAGACGTTCAAACATAAAAAAAATAAAATATATAAGAGTACATAATATGAACATTATCCTATTGGATATAGTAATATAGTATATTGTACAATATTATTAATATTATGTAATATGTTACTATCTTAAAGTTAGATTCTTTTTTGGTCATTTTTAAAATAAATATTTTTCGTCTTTGGCCCAATCCACCACATTGCCACAAACAACAATGAAAATGTTGTAATCAAGGTATTTCATAAAAATGAAAATGATAATTTAAAAGATCGTTACGATTAAAATTTAAAAAAGCAGGTAAGTGTGTGTGACTCTGCTGTACAGTAGGTTTCAAATCGATGACTGTAATGGATGGTGTTAAATTTGAATTCAATGATATAATATTATTGTATACGAAAAACGATTTCGAGTGGAGACACGGTTTGTCAACCTAAAATATTTTATATTATGTTTATATTTTAATTATTAATACGGTATAGCCGCTTAAGTTGAATTATTATTATTATTATTATTATTATTTGTCTATTATCATATTAATTGTATATAGTAATATACTTTAGAAGTTGAGGTACTCACGAATAATATTTGATAAATATAATACAAAACTAAATAATCGTTCTTCTTCTTTTAAATATCTAATTTCCTCAAATTTCCTAATTTCCTTTATTATCTCAATAACATATGAACAATCTAGTCACTAGTTTCTAGTGTCTTAGGTACAGACCCTGTACGATATGATTTTAAAAACGTTGACTATGTCACAATATTTTTAAATACATTGGCGACTCACTTCCTATTAATAATATTACCTTCTCCGATGGAAATGACGTAGTTAATCGTTTCTATTGGATAAAATATGACGCTATAAGCATAGTTGGGTACATGTTTAACAATAACGACGGGGAAGGTGGTGTGATAACTAACGGACGTCCATCGCCCAGTCAATCATTAGTTCCCTTGATGCGGTGCTGCGTCCCCTTTTGAGGCGGCGTCAATGGCGCGTATCACACGCTATCACCGGGTTTGTGGGGGACACTCAACCTATGACCTACGAGCGGTACCGCTTGGAAATCCGAAGATTTAGGTAGGTGGATGTTGTTGCAGGTGGATTACACAAGCGCCCAATAGCCCCATAGCTTTGGCTTAGCCAGTCCTGTAAAGAATACTTTTGAAAAGTACTTGAGTAAGTACTCAAATACATTTCTTTTAAAGTATTTAAGATACTACTCAAATACTTTAATTGTATAGTATTTCAAATACTACTCAAATACTTTGAAAAAGTATTTGGAATACTTTTCAAATACTTTTGGTTTTTAAAGTGGGTTTCTAATTATTGTAATATAGACACATAGGTAATACATTTATAATCATTTTTATTTATTATTTATTAAATAAATGTTTATTACATTTATTTTTTTTATTTTTACATGAAATTCACAATCTGTTCTTAACTAGAACAATAAGCAAATGTGCATAGGGTATTTGCGTATGATTTATTTTGAGGGAAGAAACCACCCATTGGTGATACTACCTATTTTGTGTTCTTAATTTATTCTAAAATTTCTAAAATTATTTCGAATAAAAATAAAATGTTCGAAATAAAAAACCAAAGTATTCAATACCAAAAAGTATTTAATACAAAAAAAAGTATTTAAAATACCATTCAAAATACTTCATGCTGAAAGTATTTAAAAAGTTATTCAATACTTAAAAAAGTATTTGAATACTTTTACTCAAATACTTTACAGGACTGGGCTTAGCCCATCATTGGGTTTTACAGAACAGCCGTGAATTTAAAATCCTCAGTGGAATGGATCGGCCGTTAGACGGGTTAGTACGTTGTAGTAGAGATGCGAGGTTTTTATTTGCGGGTGTCGTGAGACGTGATATGGCTGATGTCGTACACAATCAGAGGTCGTCGGAAAGTGATTTTTGACTTCAGGTGCACTTGTTGAGTTGGGGGGAATTTTGTAGATAATTACAGGATTTTTTACAATAATATTAAACATGGGTTTGAAATGACCAGCCAATCCGTGGCGGCGGTCGCGACCGTAACGCCGACGGTGGCAATAGGCAGCAGCTTCGGTGACAGGTCGCCGGACACTACGTAGGGAGTCGGTCGGGGGACAGGTGTTGCGTACGTTGTTGTTTACTTTGTATTAAGACGCACAATATTGCAATAGCTTTCTAATAACATAGAATATAATAAAAGCGACAGCTAACAAAATTATTTTGTTCACCGAAAAATATTTCCGTTGACCTTGAGCTGGAGGCTCAGCAAGATGTTGGCAGCGGACACGGACTAAGATAGTATGGACTGGTATCGACAAGGTTGGGGGGTAGTAGAGGAACGGTCCTCAAATGTTTCGACACCGCCATTCTCCTGTCCTAATAGGCCGCCGAAAGGTACAACTAGGGGTAAAAGCGCTCCTAGTGTCAAATAAAGTTACTAATATTGTATATTTTGATGCTTCTATTTTGAACAAATTTTGGTCACCGAAATTCACCGACATTATGAATATTAAATTTTAATATTGTCCGTAGTTGCTCTTTTAATAAATTTTGATACAGTTTTTAAAATGCCTTGACGTTGTTCTGTTGTTAAGTGCACTAGTTTTAACAAAACATCCCATGTTCCATTATTTAAAGTATACGATTCTGATTTTGATGCTTGGAACACAATTATTTCGAAAGTGATTGGAAATTATTTGCGTAAAGTTACTTATGTATGTGCTGAACATTTTTGCAATGACGATTTTATTACAAATTATGCTGTACCTAAATGTTTATCTGAAGAAAAAATAGAAAAAGTAAGAACACCAGATAGGTTAGATATATCTATAAAACATATAATATATTCCTACTAGGTATTAAAATATTTTGATTGTATACCTTCAGGTATCGGGTCAAAGGACACAAATTAAGCTGAAAAAAAGGTGCAATTGCATCAATATTTGATCCATCAGTAATTAATACTTCTAATAACAATATAGAAATTACTTTACCAGAACCTTTAAATTATTCTAGTACTCTTTTTGAGCCATTTAGAAAACAACTATTTGGTGAATCGACGAATAAATCAATATGTACAGAACCATCTTTAGAAGTAAGTTTGTTATACTTAGTTAAAGAAATATCACTTTTATGAGTGTTATGTGATATTATAGTAAGCCTTTTTCTAATATTATTTAAGGGCCCATTTAGCAATTTTAAAGACATTATATTACCAGTAGAATGGATGCTGTATAGGGGTATAAACATTGGTCGGCAGATTCCTACCCCCACCTCCACGCGGTGCCGACTGGAAACGGAATTCCGGTTCCGGCCAACGGGGGAGGCACAGAAGGCAAACTGTATAAAACCGAACACCGGCGGGTCAACACCAGCGACCATAGAGGGCCAACATCGCCCTCCAACTACCGACAACACGGACCGAAGGCTCGATGCACAGACGACCGGGAAGGTTAGACGGGAACCCAGCGGTTAGTAAACTAAGCGGCTCAGTACCATCATCCGAAACTGCCCCACAGCGGCAGGCGTGCCCCGGGGCATTAGTAGGACGCCCACAGCACGATTCGTCACCGTCCGGGTGATCGCGATTGATGGGAAAGGCCGCTAGTCAGAACGCCTCAAGAATCCACCGACCGGTCATCCAAGCACCGAGCAGCACGACTACAGAACGAACGGAGTTACCAGAAGGAAAACTGAACAAACCCACACCGGCGGTCCACGACCAGAGAGGGCCTACATCGCCCGCATCCGACACCAACAACAGCCGAGGACGGATTCCGGGAGACGAGCGGAAAGCAGCAGAACAACGGTGTAACTCTCTACACCCCGAAAACTCAGCGAAACTGCCGACTGTGGTTCGAGGGCCCGCTGCGCAGGAGTAGAACACCCACAGCACGACTAGTCATCGTCAGGGTGGCTGAGGAAGTAGGGGCTGCAGACGCAGACACCACGCGACGCAGCGATTCAATCGGATCCCGGAACGACGACAGAGCACAACGACGGAGACAGAAGGAAAACTGGGAAACCAACAACGGTGAGGAGCACCCTTCAGAACACCACAAGGAGAAGGAAGCTCAGTACGAGACTCGAGGCCGGCTGGCTATCAAGCCGGGCCAAGAACATATGAACATGACTTTCCGACTGGCGGGCACTAAAGCCGGGTCGGGAAGTCAAGAAATGCAAACAGCGGGCCTTAAGCCATCAATGTCTTTTTTACCATAAAATGTAAAAATTAGTTTAAATGTGCGCCCATCAAGGGACATAACAAAGGTGTTAAAAAATTAAATTTTATAAATGTAATATTTATTAATTCAATAAACGATGGCGGCGTCGCGGAAGTAATGCGAAAGCAGTTCCCGCGACGCCGTCGGTTCAAAACTGAAAAAAAAAGGGGTATAAACATTATGTCATTATATAAACCTAATATATTAGATGGAATTAAAGTTGTTATTAAAAAACAAATAGTTTTTCATTCTAGCACTTTAGATATTAACTATTATGTTAATCAGAAATGTATAAATCCTATAATTGTAGATTTAAAACAATTGACATACCTATTAAATACATTGGATGTGATTGAAAACATTAAATTGTTTGAACAAAAAAAGATTTGTCAAGGAGGTCCAAATGTCATACATTTTCCAGGTTTGATAAAAATTTGTTATTAAAAACTATATGTTATGTGTCACATAATAGCCATGTATATTTTGCAATTTATAATATTTAAACATTTTTTTTAGGAATTATTCTAAAGAATACACATTTAGAAAATGAAACATGGTTTCATAACAAATGTTGTATTATTACAAATGCACAGAAAAGGTGTGAACGATGCAACTTATTATTTCCATATTTTAGGATGTATAAAAAGAGAGCTTTATTGAAAAATAATAAGTATATTGGGTCTATCCTTACTCCAACTCGGCGTAGTATGCTTAATAAGATATTAACAAAATCAAAAAACATTAAAAGATCCAATATAAGGTAAAATATACTTTAATCGTTACCTACCTAATGAGTAATGATATGTGTAGAGAATTTTTGTATAGTACCTAACATTAACCATTAATAGTTGATATTCAATGCCAGTTTAAGTTATAACTTATTATTTTTTAAAGGTGTAAGTTGTCAATTAAGGAATTAAATTTAAAGTTAAATGAGATACAAATAAAATCAAAAGAATTAACTAATCAATCAATTAATACCATAATACAATCAGATAAATTAAATAAATCACAAAAAACCATTGTACAAGAAATAATCAACGCTAGCATGGTCAGTAATTTAAAAAACAGACGATATTCAGAAAATTGGATATTGTTATGTGTGTTATTGAAAATAAGGTATGTTGTGTAATATTATTAAATTTTCTTCAATCTTTGAGATGTTTTGAATTTAAAAATGTTTTGTTATAGATCATCTACCACTTATAATTGTTTAAGGGAGCAAGATATATTGCCCCTCCCTTGTCCAAGGACTATAAGAAAATATTTATCTTTGATAAGTATTGAGTGTGGATTCGACAAAAAATTTTTTCAACTGTTGAAAAAAAGAGTAGGTGTACTTACAAATGAACAAAAACACGGAATGCTAGTTTTTGATGAGATATTTTTGAGGGAGAGTTTTAATGTTAATTCTCAGACATTAACATATAATGGTTTGGAAGATTTTGGCGGTGAAATAGATTCCTCGGGGTTAAAAGCCAACCATGCATTGGTTTTTATGTTTCAAAGTCTGGCTTTAAATTTTAGGCAGTCAATAGCAGTCTTTGCATCAAGAGGACCCGTAAAAGGTACTTAAATAATACCTATGTGACATTTATATGTTCTTATAGATTTTAAGAATTTTAACAATTATTGTACTAATTAGTTGTTTGTTTGTAAAAAAATATTTGTATGAAGGATTAACACATTTTATTTAATGATTAACATTTTGGTGGTTTTTTATGTTTTATTATTAGCATATTTATGTGTTTTGTTAGTAGAGTTTGTGTTGCATGTTTATGATTCCAGATTTTATGTGTTGTGTTCTATGTTTCATTTATGAGTACAGATAGTACAGTAGTATGTATATGGATATATGGTAACTTATTATGTTGAATAATTTTAATGACCTGCACTTCTATATTAAATTGTATATTTTATATATTATAATTTATAGGAATAGTTCACGATTGGTTATCAAAGCTATATCTCTGCTGGAGAATACTGGAGTTAAAATTGATGGAGTAGTTTCAGATGGGGCATCAACCAATCGTAAACTTTGGTCAGAACTTGGTATAAGTGGAAATAAAAATGAATTAACCAATTCATTTGAACATCCCTTGGATCCTAATCGAAAAGTATTCATGTTTTCTGATGCCCCTCACCTGATAAAGAATGTTAGAAATAGACTTTTAAATAAAAAAAGTTTAAAAGTAAATAAAATTACACAGTTTAAAATGTTCTTATATAATTATTTAGGTACTTAAAATACTTAAAATAATTGTATTTTTAGGTATCTCCAGATGGACAATATATCAGATGGTCTTACTATCAAGATGTGTATGACAATGATTGTAAAAGAAGTTTTGATTCTCCTACAAGAGTATGTCCAAAGATTACATTAAGGCATTTAGATGTTGACGGATTTAGCAAAATGAATGTAAAATTGGCTACTCAGGTAAGATGTTTAATCAATTGGATAAACATAAGTATGAAAGATGTTTAGGTTGTTCAAAATTTACAAATTTTTTTCAGATTTTTAGTAATTCTATGGCCAGAAGAATAGAGTTCTATCGTGATCATGTGTAGGTAGAATCTCTTAAAAACAGTTATGACCCACAAGTTTTTACTGATCGCTTTAATAAATAATTTGATGTGTTAAACCGCAAATACCCAGCCGAAGGAATAAGAAAAAATAGCCTTGACTTCCAAGTATATTATTTATCTATAGTCAACATCTAAATTAAATACTGCTGAAGTAGGCTGCTAACTAAAAAATAAATGATTATTAATTGTTTAACTTAACCAGGTTTTAGAAGAAAATCTTATTTGGCTGAATTGTTGGGAAGAACAAGTTGAAAATTGAAAAATATCTAAGGATGAGTATTTGACACAAAGTACTGCCGATGGGTTAAGAGTAACGATTAAATCAATGTTAGAACCATCTAAATACCTATTAGAAAAATGTGGATTCAAATATGTACTAACGTACAAGATGAATAAGGATCGTTTAGAGGTATTTTATTTTTATAAATTCGTTGATGACAGAATCAAAAATAATTCGTATATGAATAACATTATTATTGAGTTTGTTTTATTTCTATCATATAGCAATTTTTTGGCATGGCGAGGCAAGCTACGGGTCCAAATGAACACCCTAGTAAACCCACATTTCTGCAGGTGTACAAAATGTTATCAATTTATTCTTTGCTAAAACCACCCAAAACAGGGAATTGTAAAATTTTAGAGCCCAGTGTACATACAATTTCAATTGATGATTTACATAGTGTTGTAAATAATGATGATGTTACACAAAGAGTTCAAAAAATTGAAAATTGAAAACAGAAACTTGACTTTTTAATTACCATTGATGTGGGATTAGATGACATTTTTGATAATAGTATTCATAACTATTACAAATCAGAAGTGGAAGATTGTGTCTTATATTATATTTGTGGCTATATTACTAAAAACTTAACAAAAAACATAAAATGAAATGTTTGCCTTACAGCTATAGCTGGAAAGTGGTAGTACCCTTCTATATATATATATATATTTTATTATTTAGGGTACTAAAATATATAACTTATATTTTAAATCTTGATCTCTATTAATTAATTTAGGTAATAAGTGTTACTCAAGCAAACCAGAAGCTCAATTTGTCAATTTGAAATCAAGAGGAGGTTTGACTTACCCAAATGATTTTATTTTTGGATTATTGACTGCTGTAGAAAAATCATTTGTAACGCATTGTGAAGATAATGATGTTTTCTTGTTAACTCTTGATGATTTTTTCAATAACAATAAGTTAATTAATTTTCCTTGTATTCAACATAAGACATACATATTAACAACTGTAATATCTAACTTCATAATCATGCGGATGAGACAATATTCGTTAATAACAAATAAGAATACAACAAAGGTTAATGCAAAAAAAAAAAAATTATCCAAACTTGTTCCTACTTAATTTGATATTAATTATTTTTATTTTTTTAAGTGTATTTTTTATTTAATAAATAACAATATATACATTTTTATTATTTATTAGTAGTTATTACTTAAAAAATTAAAAAAATTAACAATTTTGCGTAGTCAGTCAGTAATGAGTACATTATAAATTATAATATTATTTGTGCAGTATATTATTAATATTTATTATTTTGAAAATTTGATTTTTTATCTTTTCTAATTCTAAATATTGTGTTTTTATAACACACCTATAGATGGCGCTTTTACCCCTAGTTGTACTTTACGGCGGCTTTAGAAACAATTTAGGGCCACTGATAAGGTAGTCGATACCAGTACATACTATCTTAGTCCATGGCAGCGGAGTGCCTATTTGGTGTAGTTTAAAATCATAATTAACACACGTTCCGGCGACAAGTACAAATTTGAATTTTTGCTAAATTATTTCCAAAAATTTGTTATTGACAATAACTTCTGCTAATAAGCAGTATAAATCGTAATGCCGTAATGGTAATATGGTATACATTACAAATTATCTGCTTACTAATGACATTCCCCATCGTGTATAATACAGTATTTTATAAAAATCTGAGGAAGTTTAGATAATTGTTAAATACATGGCTACCAGAGTGTAATAACTAATAAGAATGTAAGATCAATAATATTTTAGTTTATTGATGAATAATGAATAATGAAGCATTTTGATTATTAAATTATGAAATGGCAGTCTGGTAATAAATTAATAACTACCTAATAGAAAATATTTAAAAATGTATTGGTTCTAAGTTAATAATAAGTAATAAGTTAATAGCTAGTAATAATAATTATTCAACTTAATCGGCTACTTCGATTTCGTTAATATGTGTCAAAGGATTGATGACTTACCAAAACCCCCACTCAGAATCTAAAACCAATTTAAAAACTTTAAGTGACAATTCAGAATTCATTCTAGCAGACGAGACCTTCAGATATTGTCCAAGATATTTTTATCAACTGTACACGATCCATTTATATAGAAACGGGTTATACTTACCCTTAGCTTACCTATTATTTTTTAACCGGAAAAACAACAAAGGATTATATTGAAATATAGCAATCTTTATCAGTTTATGTAATTCGAATAACTTAGTATTCGAACCAAAATCAGCACTGTTTTTCACTATGTAATATGTATGGTTGCCTATTCCATCTAGGACAGGCTTGGTATAGAAAGCTTAATCAAGATTTTTCATTTCTAAGAAATGAATATAAAGCTATAATACTGAAGACGGAAAAAGTATTAAATATATCTTTGGTCTATTTTTTATTTCCCCTGGAGAAGTTTCTGATGTGTTTTGCTAGTTGATCTAAATCGCACCAAATAGCAATGTATTACATTTTAATGATTACTGTTGTGTATTGTTAATATGAATAATAACACAAACGTATATTATAGTCTTTTATTGTGAAAAGTATAAAACGAACTGACATACATATAAAATTGTCTACTTGCTAATGACCGATGGACAATCCCCACCGATCGTAATATGATACTTATGATTATTATTATTAATATAAACGTTTAGTATACAATGTAAATGCTGAATATGCAACATCTCTTTCCTTTAAAAAAAATATAAAGTATTTTGTACAGTGCTTAATTACTATGTTAGTATTTATTTATTTATTTTTTTTTTTTTTATATATACGAGTATTTATTATATAATATGATAACTGATATAATTAATAGTTAATTATTGCAATTATTGCCCTAAGCATAATCACTTGGAGAATATCGCTGAGGCGGTTTTCTAGATCTAATTGGTCTGGGTGTTTTATTTACTATTACGGGATCGGCCGGATCGGGATTTTGATTTTCACCTACTGTTTCAGTATTTTTAGAATTTTCATTTGCTTGTCTAGCTGGTGTAGGTGACAGTGAGTTATTTATTTGGTTGTGTGGCCATATCTGATCAGTGTGTCTTATCCATTCAGAACCCTCGTCTAGTAAGATTTTATGAGTGTTTTTACTAATGTTTTCTGTTATTTTTCCTTTTTGCCAATTTTCATTTTTATTTCGATAATCCTTAACTAATACCAAATCACCCTCTTTTATATTAATATCTCTTTTTCCTGAATTTTTTATTTGTGTAATTTGGTTATTAATAACTACTTCATTTGTGTTTGGGATTAATAAATCAAAAATAGTACGTGTTGAGCGGCCAAACATAAGTTTTGCTGGCGTTTCATTTGTGGTTGAGTGTACAGTATTTCTATACATCGATAAAAATTTATTCAAATGGTGTAATGATGTTGAACATTTATTAAAAAATTGCTTAACTATTTTTACTCCAGATTCGGCAAATCCATTTGAGGCTGGGTGGAAAGGTGCCCCTGTCAAGTGCCTGATACCTAGTGTCTTGCAATATGACTGGAATTCATCGCCATTAAAACATTTTGCATTGTCAGTTGTTATTGTTCTGGGAATGCCAAAACGTGCAATTAACTCAGACAGTTTTGTTATGACCGTTTGTGCTGTCATCGAATTTACTTGAAAAACTTCTAGCCACTTTGTGGTTGCATCGACAATAATTAAGAATGTTTTATTTTTGTACGGACCTAAGAAATCGCAATGCACTCTCGTCCATTGTCTTTGTGGCCATTTCCACGGAGTTAGTACTGACTTAGGAGGATTAGGTCTCGCACTTATGCATTCATTGCAGTTTCGGACCATATCCTCAATTTCTTTATCTATACTAGGCCACCAGAAATACGAACGCGCAATGCTTTTCATACTCGACATGCCAATATGACAAGAATGCAGTTCAGTTAGAATTGACATACGGAATTTGGTTTTTATGATTACTCTATAGCCCCAAAATAAACAATCTTGTTCAACAGTAATTTCTGTTTTGCGTGTATTATACGAGTTTAATTCGGAATTTATTGAAAAGTCATTACTCCATGAACCTGTTTTTGTAGCGTGTAATACTCTAGAGGTAATTGGATCTCTTTTCGTTTCAATTTTAATTTTGTGCCAATCTAGCGGAAATGGTGACTGTTCGTGAATAAAATTTATGTGAGCGTCGTCATATTCATTAATATTATTGTTGCATTGGTTTGTTTTAATGCGGGATAAAAAATCAGCAGTATTTCCTTCTGATTTAATATACTTAATTTCAAAATCGAATGAAGAAAGAACGTATGCCCAACGTTGTAAGCGATTTGCCGCATAAATTGGTATTCCTTTTTTTTCTCCAAATATGTGGATTAATGGTTTGTGACCAGTAACGAATGTAAATTTTCTACCGTATAAATAATCGTAAAATTTTTGAACACCAAAAATTATGGCTAGACCTTCTTTTTCGATTTGTGGAAATTTGCATTCACTGCTTGACAATACTCGTGATGCATATGCAATTGGTCTTTCTGAGTGGTCAGGATAAGTGTGCGATATGATTGCACCTAGTGCGTATGACGAAGAATCGACCGTGAGTTTTATGGGAAGTTTTTGGTCATAATGTGCTAACACAGGACTTGAGATAAGCATTTTTTTTATGTTATTATATGCTTGATCACATTCTGGTGACCATAGCCATTTTTTTTCTTGTCTTAGTAATGAGTATAACGGTTTAAGAATGTCCGCTGCTCTTGGAACAAATTTAATGTAATATGTTACTAAACCTAAAAATGATTTTAACATAGTTTTATTTTCTGGAACCAGGGCAGATTGTATTGCATTTATGTGTTTAGTTAAGGTGTGCAAGCCATGCTCATCGATTTTATGACCTAAATATTCAATTGAATTTTTGAGAAAACTACATTTGTTTTGTTTAACCCTTAAACCAACTTCGGATAAAACGTTAAGTAATTTTTTTAATCTATTATTGTGTTCTTCTACCGTTTTTCCCGCAACTATTATGTCGTCTTGAAATATACCAATCCCTTCTAAGCCTGTGGTTGATATTTCCATGGCTTTTTGGAATTCCCCAGCTGAGCTTTTTATTCCGAAAGGATTTCGAGTATAACTGAATAGGCCTTTGTGAGTATTTATTGTAGTGTATTTGCGATCACTCTCTTTAATTACCATTTGTTGATATGCATCTTTGAGATCTATTTTAGAAAAATATTTTGAGCCACTTATATTCGCATAAAGATGTTCTATTTTTGGTAAGGGATACTCAGTTCCTTCCAATACGGGGTTGATTGTAATTTTGAAATCTCCACAAATTCTAACTGTACCGTCGGGCTTAAGAATTGGAACAATTGGAGTGGCCCATTCGCTGTAGTTTACGGGAGTTAAAATATTATTATCTATTAAACGATCAATTTCCGACTCTACCTTAGATTTTAGTGCTAAAGGAATTGACCTTGGCTTGTAAAACTTGGGTATTGCCCCCTTTTTAATGTTTAGCGATATTTGGTATTTATTAAAGGTGCCGATTTCATTTTTGAATAAATGCTCGAAATTTTTTAATATATTCTCTATATTTTCGTTTACATTTAAAGTGTTATAAATGGGAGAATAGTTTATTATTTTTAAATCATTTCTACCAATTAATGGCGGTCCTCCGTTTTGTATTACGTAAATGCACATTTTAAAAGACTTTTTAAAATATTTAGCATTTACTATTAATTTTCCTATTGGGCTTATATCATTTCCGACGTAATCGCGTAGTGAAATATCGTTTGGTAATAAAGTTAAATTATTAAAACTTGTATCATATAATTGTTTTGACATTACACTATGCACAGCCCCATATCTATTTCAAATTTTAAATCTTTATTTTCAATTAATAAATTGATAATGTACGGTTTTACTTTATTTTGAAAGTTATTTTCAATCATATTAAAAAAAGTGTCAGATAAATTGTACGCGATTGCGTCATCATGAATATTTTCATTCGTGTTATTACCAGAATTTTCGGATAAAAATTTATTGTGTGAGCGGTTATCATACTTTGGTTTATTGTTCTTACTTTTACACATAGGAGCCAAATGACCTTTGATATTGCAAATATTACAACTGTAGTCCTTGTATCGGCATTCTTTTTGTGTGTGATTTGATCGACCGCATGTTCCACATTTTGATTTTTCCGTGATTGACTGCTTGGCTGATTTTGCTTGCTGACTTTGTTTTTGATATTTGAAGTCAGCTTCTTCCTTTATCCATCCGGTTTTATTGTTGATTGTAGATTCTTTTGCAGCAGAAATTTCCATAAGGTGCGAATATGTGATGCTTATTTTTGAGGCATCTTCCTCTAGTAATCGATCTTGAATTGGTCCCGCGTTCATACCAACAACAAAAATGTCACGGATTACAATTTGTAATTCCGTTGAAAAATTACATTTTGATGCTAGGTTCTTTACTCTTGCTCCCCATTCAGCTACAGTTTCGTCTGGTCTCTGCTTTGCGTTGTAGAATGCATATCTTGATGCGAAGTACGATTTCACTGGCTTGTAATAATTGTTTAACAAACCTAATAGTGTGTCGTATGTCTGAAAGTCTGGTTTGGCTGGAACGCATAAACTGAATAATATTTTGTGAACTTCCTCACTAATTGAAGATAGTAGTATAGCTCTCTTCTGGATTTCGTTACTTATTCCGTTTGCAATGAAAAAATTTGTAAGTCTTGATTCAAATATTGTTATGTCGTTTCCAGATTCAAATGTTCCTGGTGAACCTATTATATTATGGAATTGAGTAATATTTTTGTTATCCTCACCCATTTTATAAATATTTTAATTTAATATGAGATGAGTTTAAAAATGTTTATCTTCGTCGCCAATTTGTTGTGTATTGTTAATATGAATAATAACACAAACGTATATTATAGTCTTTTATTGTGAAAAGTATAAAACGAACTGACATACATATAAAATTGTCTACTTGCTAATGACCGATGGACAATCCCCACCGATCGTAATATGATACTTATGATTATTATTATTAATATAAACGTTTAGTATACAATGTAAATGCTGAATATGCAACAATTACATATATGACAATTATACTCAAGTAAATTGTTTATTTAAACCAGAGATGTGAGCAGAAATTCGATCAAATTTACCTAAAACTACTAATGGACCTAAGGCATTTCATTCGCATTATAATGCACGATTTTACAGTACTCATCTTTCAATTTGGAAAGTATTGCATTTTTATAAATTAATATATTTTGTTTTATATACTTAGGTAATAGAAACGTTGAAAGAAATACAGACAGAGACGTATGTTAAAATTAAAGATATTTCTGGTGATATCTATCATTTAAAAGGGCTCCTGAACGTCAATAACTTGAATATATTTAAAAACATTGGCTTAAGTATACTACCGGTGAAATAAGCCGGTTACATTTTGTAAGAAAATGGGACTTTACAATATAAAAAGTATTGATTTATAATATTATTTTAACTTGTTTTGCTTTATTAATTTGGACTATATGTTATGTATATTTGTATTTTAACTATGAAACGACTGGAATGTGCCTAATTCAACTGAGTACAATTTATTTTTTCTCAAACTATATTTATATTTGTATTATAATTTATAGCTATGACTGTAATATTCCTAATTGAAGTGAACACAATTTAGTTCAATTAATTTTTACTCAAACGACCTATATGTTATATGTATATTTTTTACTATAACTATGACCATTGACCATGTAAAGTGCCTAATTGAACTGAGTATTAAATTATTTACTAAAAAATAATTTGCAAATTTTTGAGCTTTTGATACATTTTGTCAACATTTGAACTTTAAATGCTTATTGAACAAAAACATGTGTCTATGTATATTAAATTATTCATTATCTATATAATATAATATTATGTGTGTACAATTATTATTATACCTTTCTATTGTTCAGAATTTTGATGCTCAAATGATGTACGATATTTTCGCACAGGTAAATAGATGATGCGCAAATGATATACATTATGTATTGTATATATTATTTTCTCTTTAATATTGATATACCATTTATCACAGATTTTTTTTTTTATACCATTTGTACTTTTTTTTTTATACATGACGTATAAACGTATACTCTTGGATAATATAATATTATATCATTTACATCACTGACTATAACCAAACCCATTTCAAATACTTCAAAAAGATAATTAAATACTATAATAATACAGGTAATATCCAAATGAAATTTAAAATACAAACAATAGTTAAAAAGTATTAGTTCTCTAATTTTTTTTTATACATTGCATTTTAGATTTTCATTCAAGTTCTGATTCATTATTCAATACATGTCCTACTCAGACGGAAAAGATAATGTCAAGAAACACACCCAGCAAAATAAATTGAGAATAAAGGTAAAGAACTTACAAAAAAATATTAAATGTGGAGGGACGAAATGTAAAACGCATTGCACAGGCAAAAGAAGAACTTACAACATTATTGGCAGAACCCACAACATTGGGACAATATTTACCCAACCAGTCATCTAACAATTTTGTAAAAACTCAAGCAGAACTAAATTTAAAATCCATTAAAGGAAGAAGATATTCTAAAGAAACTAAGTAGTTTGCTTTAATGTTACATTTCTTTTCCGTATTTAAACTTCATTAAGATATTAATATATAAGTTCCTGGATGATACTAAAATTTATAATCTTATGACCAATTCATTTGGATCATCGTAAAACACTAATTGTGTTTTAGCTATCACGTCTTTATATAGACCAGCTCCTTCATTGCTATCAGTCGATGTTCACGAATTAAATTGAGTAAATTGATCATTAAGGTTCCTATTGTCCATTACCGGATTAAAACTAAATGATTCACTGTTTTGCGTTGTATCGTCATTAATGGTTTTAGATAGTTTAGGACTTCAGCTTGGTAAATTTTTTCCAAACTCATTTAAATCTAAATTAAATATTGTAGTTGGTGTATAATCATTTACTTCATCCGTTTTAGTATTTAAAATATTCGATTCCGCTTTTAGTCGATCGTATAACGGTTTTATAATGTGTGTCCATTTATAGTAACCATTTGCCTTTGGTTTCTTGTCTGGTTTAAGATGAACTTGTGTAGTTTTAAAATATTTTAATATGCTTCAACTTCTTCTAATGTACTCCCTCTAGGAGTTTTCTCACATAATAATGACCAAAGACCAAAAGTCCAAGGATAGTTATTGTCAGCTACATGTAAATTATTATTAAGAAAATTAACTGGATAATTTCCTATTTTGAGTTGGTCGTCATTTACGTTATAATGTAAGCTAAACGCTTTATCAGATAGTCTAAGTTTAGACTGTGTTTTAAAAAAAAAGTAGAAAAACTGGTACGAAAAAACGCCAGATCCAATGGCTGACAAAGGCGGGTCGCATTTGGTGGTAGTAAGTAGTAACACAAATCTAATATTACGAGTTGCACATAATTTAATGACTTCCAGAGACAGGTGACTCGCCAAATTATCTCCTATTATGACTTTAGGACCATTTAAATTTTTAATAAATGGTATAGACCAGTGGTTCTTAACCTTTTTTAGTTCAGCGCCCCCTTTATCGTAATAACTTACTGCTAACGCCCCCCCTCAAAATCAAAATTTCTTCTAATAAAGATATATATATATATATATATATTTATTCATCAGTATAACATTATTAACTAAAGTAAAAACTCTTATTTTTAGATAATAAAGGTTATATTTTTCACCACTTAACAAAAACATTTTACTTTACTATACAAAAAGAATTACTTAACTATGAAAAAAAAAATTGTACCTATCAATGACTGCCCTGAGTTTGTTGAGTAGCTGTTAATGTGGCGATGTCTGGTTCGGTATTGAAGGTATATTTAATAGGTAGATCACCTTTGTTACAAATGTCTAACCGATTTCTTTGTTTCGTCAAAAGCTGAAAAACAACGCTGAATCCTTTTTAAACTTGAAAAGGGTACAGTATACAATAGTCCAGTTATGGTTGAAAATGTAAAAATAAATTTTTTATAAACAAGACGTTCCCGATACGTAAAATGCGATTAGATAACATTCCGTATGTCGTTGTATCGTACGCAATTACAACTATTCTGATTTCAAGTTCAATTATTTGTAGTGTTGTTATATAATATTAATAAATTGTATTATTTTTAATCTCCGAGTTTGAAAAAGCTCACCGCCCCCTCAACGCCACCTTCAAAACTATCGCCCCCCATAGAGACCAAAATGCCCCCAAGGGGGCGGTAGCGCCCCCGTTAAGAACCACTGGTATAGACGAAAGAGAGAACCAGTCCTCGAAAATACTCATATCAAACCAACCACTTGAGTTACGATTAAATCTGGCACCTGGGACGCCACCCTCTATCCATGTTGGATATAAATATGTCGATTTATAAATCGTTTATGGAGGAACAATTTTACCATCTGCGGCTGCACAAAACATAACCGAAGTACTTGCCTTCGATGAATCCCTTATTATTTCTGGATGTTTCACACATCGTCTAACAATTACTAATTTTTTTCCGGGATCGTCACTAAAATTAGTTTCATCGTAATTAAAAATATTACTAGCCGGGACATCCCGTAAAACAACTTCCAAATTATCAAAATATTTGGTAAATATTGGTTTAGAAACACCTGCTTTAACACGTTTTATATTTTCACCGAATCGCTGACTTATTACGATTCAACCCAGTCGATTCCGGGCAAATTGGATTTAAATCTTTTTACAGTTTTCCCAGATCGATTTAAAAATTACTGCACAACGATACGCATATCTGATGCTTGAAGAGGAAACCCCCATGCGGCACAAGTGACCAAACCTTCAACTAACATGGCCTCATCTTTTTCGGAAAGCACCATTTGACCTCCGGGTTTTTTAATATTATTGAATTTTTTTCCATGGTCACTTAAAGTACTTTTAGGTACTCCATATTTTTCAATAGCCGTGTTTTTAAGCTAATTGAATTTTTTTTATGTCAGCTAATGCTTTAACTAATTGACCATATTGGTAATTTATGTATGGTCGACCGCCTACCTTTTTTTTATACGGTGCCATTGTCCGGAATCAGCCTGCGTTTATTACTTTTTCTTTTTAATTGCTATAATAAGTTCAATAATTTAAGTACGCTAATTGTTGTTTATCGGATTACTAATTATGAACTTGGTTGATACAAAAAAAAAAAAAATAATAGATATCGAACAAGATTTCATTATTTGACGAATTATGTAAATGTTATCTTGTTAAATGCGGGAAAATATGCTTGATAACACAAATACGTGTGTGAGCCACTTATCGACTTATCAATAGTAAAAGCGCTCCGTTACGTTACACCGGGGTATAGACACTCTGTGTATTGGCAAAATCGGGTGACTGTGGCCTTGAGCACGGTCTCTAAGGGGGCGTGGCATATGTTATCATTTAAATAAATCATATATCAATATTATCAGTCCACAGAATAATAATACAATGTATTATTTCATTAACAATAAACCAATGTAAAATTACATTATAGTTTTTAATTTATATTAAAACAAAATCCTTATTCATTTTACCAAAATTTAATATTGAAATAATATTGTTAAATGTTTAAATGCCCATTGCTTTGTATACGTTTATAAAAATTCCGTAACAAAGAGGGATACACGTTGCTAACGTTCTATCAGATTTCGGATACGGTACAACTTTTATAGTCCAATACATCATACCGTAGGGATACGTAAACCCTCACAGCTGATCGAGTGTCTATTCTATATTGTTCTGTGGTTACACACACGGACTATGATTAACAGGACTGGAAACCAACAATAGTGCACTGTGTAATGACAAGATACACGTCTGTTACGGAAAGTCAACGAGCGATTGCAGCGCCATCTCCTAGGTTGAAACAGAATCCCTGGCTATTTGATTATAAAACTCTGAATTGTCTAAAAATTACTGACTAACAAGTCTGTGTTAAAAATAAACAAAAACGACGACTTACGTACACATGCATAATAGTTATTTTATTTGTTGTATACAATTACCATTCATCCGTATCCATTGGAAAATATTACGTGTTATATTAAATACCAACTGTGACGACTGACGAAGTGTATAATATCTTAATCGGCCGTATGCATAGTTAGTGCGTTATGGGTCACCTAAAACTGCCTAGGTGTTACCTAGCTACGGGACACTTAGCCAGTACTTAGCTAACTCTTAATTTCCATATGCATAATTAGAATTTTAGGGTACCGTAGCTAAGTAATTGTTTAAGGACTAATGATTAAATTTATTTATTTTTCCATGAATTTAAAAGTTAATAATCATTTACAATTTATAGTATAAATTAAAATACATTTAATTTATATAATAGTATTTATATTAGTATGAATAAGATTAAGAGAGAACGCTGTCCAAATTGGGACAATGAAGAAAAGGAAATTTTTTTTCATTGTTTAAAGAAATTAAAATCAACAATAGAAGATCCGAGAAAAGATTGTAATACTAATCTGAAAAAAAAACGAAGCTTGGCAACATATTGCAAATGATTTTAATTCTTATGCAAAAGTTCAAAAGGTAATTAAGTAATTTAATATACCTATCACCTATGTTACAGTTGAGTTAAATCTGCAGCTTATGAAATAACTAATAATATAATAATAAATCGGATATGACTCAGCCCAACACAATTTGTAGGTAATTCCTTAACTACATAGGTACCTATTTTATAAAATAATGGAATTCAACACTTCAACTGTAACATATACATATAATATATTATACACTAATGGAATTATATAAGTTGTATTTTAAATTGTTATTATTAATGTTTTAAGAGAGAAGTGAAAAGCTTAAAAAAATTATGTAGGTAACCATTTTTAAACATTCATAGATTTTTTTATCCCTATAGGGTCTGTTGACTCCTGACAGGAACCGTACAGTACAGTTAATGTTATATGGTTGTAGCAAGTACTAGTGCTGCCATAAACTCGAATACTAATTTATTATAATCTCACCTATTTATAGCCATGTATAAAGAATACATAATATCAAAAACTTTAAAATTTCCAAGGTCAATTAAAATAAATGATAGTCGATATAGTTACATGGTTTTTTTAAATAAAAAAAAATTGTATTTACAAATTATATTGTATACATAATTACAAACATTTTGTCAGTGATCTGAAAAAAAAATCATCAATATTAGTAAATGGAATGAGACTAGTTGACGCTGATCGATATGGATCTAAACAATTTGATAATTTATTTTTGGTATTGGTAAAGTACCTATTAGGCATCCGGAGCACAATACATTTTGAGAGTTCGTCTTGTGCAGGGCACGGTACAGCATTCATCGACGATTAGCGGTAATCGTAATCGTCTCCTTTGTCCGATTGACACCTGTTCCTCTCCAGCTATAAATGATAAATGCGCATGTCAATATAACAGTGTTAGAGATACCAAAGGATAAAACAAATGCATATTGTACTAAGGTACTAGGGCTATATTCGTTATCCTAGAAAATATTGCCCAGAGTGCACTCGTAATACTATTATACCATATAACATGCAAGTCATCATCTATTCAAACTTCTCGTTTTCATGACAAGAGTAAATGAATTGACCATGGTCGGAGAATTGTATGAACTTGAAGTATTTAAAAAATGGAAATGTAAAAACTCACCAGGTAACTCATTGTATTTTCCTCTGCAAATTACTTCTAGTTCGTTAGCCAACCTCGAGCCACAATAGTTGTCGATATTGTCCCAGTAAGGGTCGAGTTGAGGTAATACTACCCCTCGTCCAAACCCGACCAAACAAAATACCAGCAAGGAAATAATGAGTTTGGCCATCATTGCAATTCTAATAACAAAACAATGTAAATATTATGCAGGATTAGTTAGGAATTGATAATTTGAACATAATATTTTCATTATAATCTTCAATGTACCCATAGGTATTATATTATATTCATATTTTATTAATGCAGTACCTACGTATAGAAAAGCTATTGGCTATTTCCTGTGTTCAATAATATTTATGATTTTTATTATTTTAAACCATATTACTGGGTATTTATATAGATATTATATAAAAAAAAACTCAACTTAACTTAAGTTAATAAGTTAATTGAAAATGTTCATATAACTTTTAACTTAACTGAGTTAAATAAAAATTAGGTTAACTGTTAACTTTGAACCTTTTAAAATGTTTTCCATTAATTTAACTTAATTCAGTTAAAAATTATCATTAACTTGCTAAGGCTTGGTAATAATACACTATCCTGTCCGAGGATAAACAAATTTACCTTAACCATATTTGTATAAAGAAAATTAGGTACCTACCTAACATGAAAATAATTCAAGAAAGTACCTATAGTCATAACTACAATTTATTATTAAAATGCACACAATATACTATTATGTAGGTACCCGATAATATAAATAAGCAGCCACAAACGTATATTAAACACATTTTTCTTTATTTATCATATTAGGAGTATAATTATAAAATTACATTTTTTCATTCATCAAATGACATTCAAAAGAATGTGTTAACCACCAGTGACGTTTCTGAAATAAAAAAGTGACATTGATAATATTATAAAACAACAATTTTGTTAGTTAATAAATAAATTCAAATATTCTTACTTGGCAAAGAACCGAACAGTATCTAGCCAATTTACATTTGTTGCATATTATTTCTACATATGATGCACAATTTTCCATGTGGCACTAAAAAAAAATACCGTCAAACCGGGTTACTTGGGACACTTTTGAACTTCGGATGAATACTGATCGAAAAGTTTTCAAAATATATTAATAATGGTAATGAACAAAAATGCTGGTCTTGACTTAGACTATGAGACCCATATGTTTTTTTTTTTGATTCCTCCCCCCTTCCCGTTTTTTTTTTTTAAAAATATGCTTGTCCCAAGTTACCTTGATTTTTGGGTAACTTGGGACACCCATATATTTCTATGTAAAATTCAAGTTAACTTTGATATTATTTAACTTGGGACTTAATAATTGTTTTTAAAAAAAATGTGAATGTTGACTTAAATAAGTGTATGTATTAAAAAACTTTTAATACAATAACAAAACCAAAATAACATACTTGTTAATATAAAATCAAATAAAACATATTAAAACACCATCGAACCATCCAGACTTGGAACGATTATACCTAGTTCCTTTAGGCCCACCCTCTGTCCAACTTTCATATAAGTTTTCCGCTTTGTATACCACATAGGGTGGTAATAAATACCCGGAGGCTGTTCCAGCAAACATTACGGATACACTAGATTTAGACGAGTCTAAAATTCGTTCTGGATGTTTGCAACCTCTCCTTGTTATTATCTTGGCTTTCCCAGGGTCGTCAGTAATATTGGTTTCGTCATAATTAATAATTAAATTTGCAGAAACTCCGGCTAACGAGTTTTTTAAGTGTTCAAAATATTTTTTTATAGATTCATGGTTGATTTCCGCTCTTGATCTCTTTATATTTTCGGCTAATCGCTCACTTAATATAGATTTATGTCTATCTAAAAAATGTTTGAACCATTCATATCCGGGTAAATTGTTTGTAAACCGTTTTTCCTTAAAACCATTTTAATTCAGGAATTGTTGTACCAATAACCGGATATCCATAGATGTAAAAGGAAATCCCCATTTACTAGACAAACATATTCCCTTAACTAGATTTTCCTCATCTTTTTCCGACAATGTATTTGGTCTGCCCACTTTCATCGTATTTTTATTATTTACTTTTCTTTGCAGAGTAGACTTTGATATCCTATACTTTTTTTCTGCATCCCGAAAAGTTATTTTTTTTGTCTTTAATTCCATTACGGCTTTTTTTAAAGTTTCTTCCGAATAATTTTGATACGGTCTTCCCCCAACTTTTTTTACATATTTTGCCATTTCGAATCTTAATTATAAATACCTACCTAGAGATAAGACCGAAAAAAGTTTGAATGAGTGATATTAAATAATATTAAAACTAACTTGGGACACTACATCTAACTTGAGACATTGTCCCAAGTAAGCATAAAAAAAATTTTCCCTCTCAAATTTGTGATAACCAACAAATCCCACATAAAAATGATAACTTTGAAATATTGTTATTAATCATGACCTGTTATTACATCCTGTGTTCAAACTCACATTTACATTCAGCAAACAGTATGTCATATGCAAACCATACTTTTACATGCTTTTATATCACAATAAAACCTAAATGAACTTTAATATTTTTTAATAGAGTACTTATCTTGAGAGCACGTCCGGACAGCACGACGGTCGTTGTGAAAGTGATAATAAACAAATGTGTGATTATACGGTAGTGATAACAACATTTCTAGCGCTCAAATCTTATCATTGATAATACTATATAATTTGTATTCAAGTTATCCACATGTCCCAAGTAACCCGGTTTGACGGTAACAACAAAAGCATTTCTAGAATATTATTTTTATAAACTTTAAAGTGATCATAAACGGGGGCCCACTAAGTCATTCATTAGTCGTTAACTCAAATAATATGGTTATTAGTCAGTGAGAACCATCAGTATTTAATACTATAAATATTGATAAATGGAAAAATGAATGTTACGTGTGGGCAACATGGATTTTTCAAAACCACTTTAACAGGTTATATAGAATGCTTAAATATAATAAGCTAATGTTATAACACAAAATTTAAAAAATGATCTATTTACAATGAGTAATTTGTACATATCTTTTTTCATCCATTCTTTTGGATTTCTCAACCGGATCTTTGGAATATTCTCTATATTTAATTCCTAAAATGATTTAAAATTATAAACTTTAGTAAGTATTTTGATATTAATGTCATATTTAATATGACTTAATTCCTAGTATATTTTTCAAAAACTGTACTTATATTTTTTCTCCGCCCTTATTATATCTATTTAACTTGTCGCTTTCTACTGGTATTTTTCCTGATGCATGGAAAACTAGCCTTATTCGCCCTGTACCAAAATTATCATCAGATCTGTCTAATATCTCCAATTACCGACCAATCTCACTACCTTCTATTATACCCAAGGTATTTGAATCTATCATTGCCGCAAAAATCGTAATTCTTTTAGCTAATGTTATCATTGATGATCAGCATGGTTTCCGTCGTAATTACTAATCTGCTGGTCTTTCAACACTTCTTATCTGATATTCTGATGCTCTTAAGACTGGTAATAGTATTGACGTTATCTACACTGATTTTTCCAAAGCTTTTGATAAAGTTAATCACCAGATTTTATTTATGGAATTAGAACAAATCGGTGTATGTGGTTCCCTCCTTAACTGGCTAATTTCTTTTACCCAAGACCGTGACCGGCCAACTATATTACGGCATATTGAAATTGTAGTATATGAACTTACTCTCGATTTGTCATAGTTGAAGCAAAAAATCTAAAATTTTAGTAATTTTACTATAGTAAGATAGTACTATGATACTAAAATAATACTACTACCTGGCAGGATCTAGTCACATACTTCCTGCGGTAGCAATCTCTGAGTGATTTCCATTTTCTTTGTAGGAGAGCAATTGCAAAAATAAATCAGTATACATCTGAACATAACTTAGTAAGTTAGTTTTAGAAATAAGGCGCGATAAATCGCTGTTAGTTGCACGCGTATGAATGTCTGATATAAATACACTTATTTTATTTTAGGCGATTAATCGCTGCGTTTTTGAAGCTCGGTACCTACGCTAGCAATTTTACACTTACATATCTAATTTTTTCTGAGTATCTGCAGTATGACTATGACTGCCGGAGAAGTTGGGATTTTTTCAAGTACAGAAAAAATGAACGTTGTCCATTTTAGATTCTGAGCGGAGCGATGAATATATTGGTTTTACAATGATGTATGTTTTTATATTTTTATTTATATTTTTATATTTTTATATTTTTATATTTTTGTGTCTGTCATCACGTTTTAGGACAGTAAAAGTGCTTCGATTTTCTTCAATAGTACCTTTTCTGATAGGAAAGTGAATCTAGTTGGTACTTTGGGGGGTCAAAAGTAAACATTTTCCAGTAGTTTTCACAAGCGCCGGGAAAAACAACATAAAAATTAAGGAAAAACGGGAATTTTTACGCAAAATCGATTTTCCAAAAAATCGAATTTGGTTTTTGGTGTAACTTTAAAACAAATGACCGTAGATACATGAAATTTTCAATGGTTGTTTATATTTGCATTTTCTATACACGATAACATTTTCAAAATATTTTGATTTATTTTGAACTGTTTAGGGACATTTTCATTTTTCATTTTTTTTTAGTTTTTTTCCTAGAAATATCAATAAAATTTTATTTGTTGGTTGCGAAAGCTTGAAAATTTAATAGAAGGCTCCTAATATGTTGTTTCAAAGGCAGATGAAAAATATTAAAAATCCTTAGTCACAATTTTTTTTTATAAGCATTTAAAGTTCAAAAATTGACAAAATATGGAAAAATCACGAAAATTAGCAAATTATTTTGAGTTAAGAATTCGTAAAAATTTTTCTTTTTAAATCTAAGATTTGAAAATGAAACACAAGATTCCTTATAAGATTATCTACCTTTATCAATAAAAAAATCTCTACCGGACAGTCAAATTAAATTTTTATGAGCGTTTGAAATTCAAATTTTTACAACATTGGATTTTCACTCGATTTCTCATGTAGCGATTTCCTTATTTTGTTGTAATTCAAAAACGAATAACTGTAGATACATGAAAATTTCACTGAATGTTTATATTAGCATTTCCTATACACCATACAATTTTGAAAAGATTTTGACTCTTTTTGAGCTGTTTACGGACATTTTCAGTTTTCAATTTTTTTAGTTTTTTTTTTTTATAATTGTCAATAAAATTTTATTTGGTGGGCCAAAAAGTCTGAAAATTTAATACAAGCTTTCTTATATATTGTTACAATATCAGTTGAAAAATTTTAAAAATACATTGGCCCGATTTTTTTTTATAAGCATTTAAAGTTGGAATTTTGACAAAATTTATCAAAATCTCGAAAATTATCAATCGTTGGAATTAAAAAATTATAAAATGTTCAGTTTTTATAACTAAGAGTTGAAAATTTAAAACAAAGATTCTCTTAAATAATTCATACTGTAACCAAAAAATCTAAAAAATATATAAACACACTTATTTTTTACAGACATTTTAATTTCAAATTTAAACCAAGAATTACGATTTTAGTTATTTTGTTGTGATTGAATAATACTATTCGTGGGTACTTGAAACTTCTAAAGTGTACTATTATATATCTATGATAGTATCACGGTTTTTGTTGATGTATAACGCGTTATAAGTATCTAATGGATATTGTGATATGATTAATTTGGAATTTATTATAGGTACCTATTATAGGTCAATTTTTTGTTTAATACCATAGATATGTATATAATATGCCTTATACATAGACTGACATACCATCACCGCTCAGAATCGTTTTTCTTATACAATGATATTATATCATTGAATTCAAATTTAATACCATCCATTATACAGTGACCCACTTGTAACCTACTGTACAGCAGAGCGACACCCACTTGCCCACCTTTTTTTTATTACTTGAATACCTCCATTTAGAACACAGTATGTTTTACGATATCCAACAAATCTGTACTTAAATAAATCGACTAATGCTAATTCTTTTCCTCGCTCTGAACTAATTAACTGGTATATGTGAACCGATCATTTTTAATAAAGAACTCAGTGATGTCAATATAGAAGTGTGTCCATAGTATTCCACAGTGAACCGTTGTGCGAATAACACGTGCCTGTTTGTTGCGCTCCGTGATAAACTTCGATTTAACTACAGTAGATATAGTTTCTATATACATTCTTATATATTCTTTGACTTTTAACATTTTTTTATCGAATTTCATAAGCCAGTCTGTCATAACCTGTGTCGTCATCCAGGCCTTTTTATTCCAACACCAGTCAACGGGAAATTTATTTACGTCTAATTTTTTGAAAGCTCGCGGTCGTTTTGCCATCTATGACGAGAGGACGTTCAAACTCACCTATCATATTACAGCACAATAGCACAGTCAACCGTTCTTTTGAAACTTTTCCACCACTGCACGTTTCATTTTTAAATGCCATAGTTTTATTGGGTAGAACTCTAAAAAAAAGCCCAGTCTCGTCGGCATTGAAGATGTCCCGATTTTCATATTTATCGATTATGTTTGGCAATTTTTTCTTCCAGTCATCAACAGCTATTCTATCAACGGCTGAAGCTTCTCCACAGATAGATTTAAACAAAATGTTATGCCTTTTTCGAAATTTTTCAAGCCACCCGTTTGAAGCTTTAAAGTCATTTAATCCGTAAACTTCAGCAAGTTGTTTAGCCTTTTCCTGTATTGTTGGTCTCCAACAATAGTTCAATAAGCAGTTTGATGAGATTGTTGCTAAAAATTACTCACTTGTCACTAAAATTGAATATTTTAGTCTAAAGTATCACAGCTTGAAGTTAGTAATTCCGATCTGCAGTCTAGAAGTCGCAGTATAATTTTGTTCAATAGGTATACCTGAAATTCCCAGTCAACCTAACTCTGATGATAAAAATTATATTTCAAATATATTTAAGAAAATTGATCTACACATTGAACCTATTAATATTATACATTTAGGTGAAACTACTAAAAAGTGTCAGCCAATTCGAGCTACACTACCGAATCAACATGATGTATATGATGTTTTAAAAAACAAACGTAAACTTAGTAATTCGGTTGATTTTAAACTCGTTAGTACCTATATCTACTGATAGAACAATGCTACAACGAAAACGCCTAAAAAGTGTTATTGATGAATTAAATGCTAGAAGAACTGCAGGGGAAACTGATCTTTTCATCAAATACGTAAATAATTTGCCTGTTGTCTCAAGAAACTAACAAA